TTTATAGTACTCTTAATGTGAATTTGATATATTGTTAACAATATTTATAATTTACAGTACTCTTAATGTGAATTTGATATATTCTTAAGAATATTTATAATTTACAGTACTCTTAATGTGAATATGATATATTGTTAACAATATTTATAATTTACAGTACTCTTAATGTGAATTTGATATATTATTAATTTATAATTTACAGTACTCTTAATGTGAATAAGATATATTCTTAAGAATATTTATGATTTACAGTACTCTTAATGTGAAATTGATATATTGTTAACAATATTTATAATTTACAGTACTCTTAATGTTAATTTGATATATTATTAATTTATAATTTACAGTACTCTTAATGTGAAAATGATATATTGTTAACAATATTTATAATTTACAGTACTCTTAATGTGAATTTGATATATTATTAATTTATAATTTACAGTACTCTTAATGTGAATATGATATATTCTTAAGAATATTTATGATTTACAGTACTCTTAATGTGAAATTGATATATTGTTAACAATATTTATAATTTACAGTACTCTTAATGTTAATTTGATATATTATTAATTTATAATTTACAGTACTCTTAATGTGAAAATTATATATTGTTAACAATATTTATAATTTACAGTACTCTTAATGTGAATTTGAAATATTATTAATTTATAATTTACAGTACTCTTAATGTGAATATGATATATTCTTAAGAATATTTATAATTTACAGTACTCTTAATGTGAATTTGATATATTGTTAACAATATTGATAATTTACAGTACTCTTAATGTGATATTGATCTATTGTTAGCAATATTTATAATTTACAGTACTCTTAATGTGAATATGATATATTCTTAAGAATATTTATAATTTACAGTACTCTTAATGTGAATATGATATATTCTTAAGAATATTTATAATTTACAGTACTCTTAATGTGAATATGATATATTCTTAAGAATATTTATGATTTACAGTACTCTTAATGTGAATTTGATATATTGTTAACAATATTGATAATTTACAGTACTCTTAATGTGATATTGATCTATTGTTAACAATATTTATAATTTACAGTACTCTTAATGTGAATATGATATATTGTTAACAATATTTATAATTTACAGTACTCTTAATGTGAATATGATATATTCTTAAGAATATTTATAATTTACAGTACTCTTAATGTGAATATGATATATTCTTAAGAATATTTATAATTTACAGTACTCTTAATGTGAATTTGATATATTCTTAAGAATATTTATAATTAACAGTACTCTTAATGTGAATTTGATATATTCTTAAGAATATTTATAATTTACAGTACTCTTAATGTGAATTTGATATATTGTTAACAATATTGATAATTTACAGTACTCTTAATGTGAATATGATATATTGTTAACAATATTTATAATTTACAGTACTCTTAATGTAAATTTGATATATTCTTAAGAATATTTATAATTTACAGTACTCTTAATGTGAATTTGATATATTGTTAACAATATTGATAATTTACAGTACTCTTAATGTAAATTTGATATATTCTTAAGAATATTTATAATTTACAGTACTCTTAATGTGAATATATATTCTTAAGAATATTTATAATTTACAGTAATGTTAATATGATATATTCTTAAGAATATTTATAATTTACAGTACTCTTAATGTGAATTTGATATATTCTTAAGAATATTTATAATTTACAGTACTCTTAATGTGAATTTGATATATTATTAATTTATAATTTATAGTACTCTTAATGTGAATTTGATATATTCTTAAGAATATTTATAATTTACAGTACTCTTAATGTGAATTTGATATATTCTTAAGAATATTTATAATTTACAGTACTCTTAATGTGAATTTGATATATTCTTAAGAATATTTATAATTTACAGTACTCTTAATGTGAATTTGATATATTGTTAACAATATTGATAATTTACAGTACTCTTAATGTGAATATGATATATTGTTAACAATATTTATAATTTACAGTACTCTTAATGTGATATTGATCTATTGTTAACAATATTTATAATTTACAGTACTCTTAATGTGAATTTGATATATTATTAATTTATAATTTACAGTACTCTTAATGTGATATTGATATATTGTTAACAATATTTATAATTTACAGTGCTCTTAATGTGATATTGATCTATTGTTAACAATATTTATAATTTACAGTACTCTTAATGTGAATTTGATATATTATTAATTTATAATTTACAGTACTCTTAATGTGATATTGATATATTGTTAACGATATTTATAATTTACAGTACTCTTAATGTGATATTGATCTATTGTTAACAATATTTATAATTTACAGTACTCTTAATGTGAATTTGATACATTGTTAACAATATTGATAATTTACAGTACTCTTAATGTGATATTGATCTATTGTTAACAATATTTATAATTTATAGGTGCTGCTTCTAGTGGTGATATTGATATATTATTGACACATCCCAGCTTTAATTCAACTGATAAGAAACAGGTAGAGTTTCAAAAAAAATTTAATGCACTAAAAGTTACTTCCCTATTAAGGATTATTGTTGTGTTTCTGTGCATAAGGGAATCCTCACAGAAATCAAATCATAATAAAATCTGATAAACCTGAAATATGATACTATTCTCATTGTCATATGACCCATGGATGGTGCTAGATAAGTGAGTTCTGAAAAGGTTCTGTCTGTTAAATTCTTGGCTGGACTTGATCTGTTTTGTTCAACTTCCAGTTGATTCCATAAATCCTGAATGAGCAGAACTCACAGTTTTAGTGCCACCATGGAATCATTAAAGATTTATTTTCATTGCAAAATGAAACAGAATTATATATTCTTGTTGTCTAAAACTTTAATAAATATATTTTTTCTACCAACTTTTGTATATAAGACTGTCTTGTATGAGCCTATGATTTCAGCCACATCTGGTGAAAAATGTTGTAGTGAAGTTAGAAAAAGTTAATTTCCTCACAGATAGATTGTCTTTGGGTGATTCAAAGTTTATGGTAAGTTAAGCAAGTTTCATATAGATTTGATGGGACATAGTTAAAGCATTGTATGGGACATCTATCTTTTGAAAACACTTTCTTATCCAAATCAAGACTACCAGTTTCATGTTTTGTTTATATGAAATTATAGAAAGTGTAGACATGGTTGAGTCAAATATCAAAGTGTCACTGTCTATAATGTGCACACCCAGTAATAAGGCACACTATACATGCAAATATACATTACATTAACTGAAACTTCTGTTTTAATTTAAGTTATGCACCATATCACTAGGAGATGTACCTGTTTTTGTTTTCTAACTTGTGGATTATATTCTTCTAGGGTGTTTGTCAGTTACCTAAATCTGAAGATGGCACAGAAAATCTGTTCAGAAGAATTGATATCAGGTTGGATTCAATTATAATTCAATTATAGGGTGCAATGTTATGGTTCTAGTCATTGGGCAATTAGTCCAAAATGTATATTATTTTCTTCTAGATTTAAATTTGTGGGTTTACTTGTAAATAGGAATTTCAATCACCTAGGTAAAATACAAGCTAACTTTGAGCAGACTTTCGAGAACTCTGGTCATTCATTCAAGGAATTTTTGAGTATTGTGCCACCTTGCAGATGGTAATTCAACTGCCTACTTACTGAGTGTAAAACAAAATTATTATAATTTCAGATTAATACCAGCAGATCAGTTTTACCCTGCCTTGCTTTATTTTACTGGTTCAGATGTATTTAATAAAAATATGCGAGCTCATGCTCTAGAACAAGGATTTACATTGAATGAATATACTTTACGTCCTATGGGCAGTATAGGTAAATCTTTCTAATATATAAACCAACATTGTAGTTCATGCATAACTAAGATCAAGCATTTTTATATACTCTTTTGGTTTTACTATATTAAAAAATTTCAGACCTGGAATAGTTAATGTGGCAAACAAAATACAAGTTCTTGCTGAGAAATACCGCAATTCAAACCATGTATAACATTAATCTAGAGACTTTGCGTAACAAAACATAATTTATATGGTTTGTATTATAGGGACACCAGGAGAACCATTACCTATTACCAGTGAAGAAGATATATTTGATTATATTAATTATAAATATAAAACACCAGCTGAACGAAATGCTTAACTTACAGCTGCACTACTGCTGAGGTAGGAAGAGTACTAGAAAAGATGTAACACAATCATCAAGCTTAATTCCATTGGGCATTTTGATTATTTGCATCTGATTTAATTTGATTATCATTTCGTTTTAATAAACATGCACTCATATGGCAGCAAACAAATTTTAGAATATATTTCAGTTATTGTAATGTAAAAGAATGTTGTGATAAAGTTTTCATGTGGATACTTGTTTCATCAATTTGGTAATAGTAACTACTGCAAGTTGGTTTGAGACCGCTGTTGCTTATAAGCTGCTTTATCCATCATAAATCCTCAGTCAGGAGTAAATGATAAATAGCCTGTGGGTTGGCATAATAAACTGTATGGTTGGATGTATGTTTCAGTGCCGAATCAGTTGTGTGGATGCATGTCAGTGTTTATATCATCTGCGTGTATGATGCAGTTTACTATCAGCAGTATGCGGTAAACCGTAAAGGCGCCACTTCACTTATGTAAATCTTTACAATTTTAATTTTTATCCACTAAAATACTACCCGATGATTTTCTTGTCTCAATTCTGAGTATTCTCACCAAATTTCATCTAAATGTGTGTTAGCTTGTTTTATCATCTTCTAGACTGGATGTAATACATAATCCTGATGTTTTGATGAACTTATGTTATCCTCTTTTTATGAAGTAAATTCAAGTACAGCAGCATTGACCACTTAGGACTTGAACACAGTCAAATAAAAACAACAATTCCATATTATTTTAATCTTAAATACAAACAAAGTCAGAAATTATTTGGTTACCAGCAGCTGGACCTTAATTCAATCTGCCCAGTAACACTTATCTTAATGGAAACCCATATTGTAGACAAACAACGTCAGATTTTCAATCCGAAAATGATACTGGTAGCTCAAATTATATACAATTTATTAGCTGGTAATCAAAATACTACATTCGTTAAACATGGGGATTCTGTTTGTCATTGGCAATTTTTCATCTTTTCAAATACATATATTTTTCGGGCTCCCACATCTGCTAATATAGGCTACATACACTATAAAAACTGGCAGGTTAAACTTATATACACATATTAAAACCTTACTGCATTGTAGTATACTCTAATCTATATATAATTTACACAAAACGTAGTCTAAATGTATACAGACCTATTTTCAACACACAATTAAAGTTGGTCTGATTTTAAAAATATATGACTTACATTTCCGAATTTCAATAGAATTCATAGAAATTTTGAAACCCAAGTCTCAAAGTATTACCAATAGCAAAAGTCTCAAATTAAAATTTACCAAATTTTTAATATTTCAAATACGTTGGTATAAGGTTTTATAAGAGAAACTCTCTCGCTGGCCAAGATCACAAGTAGTAGAGACTGAAATAGCGAATTCTTATCGTATATTTCCAATTATAATGCGCAGTTTTTTACCCCAAAATACGGAATCGTGAAAGAAGACAGACTTAATATTCATTTCTGTAAATACAGTTTTTTTTTATTTAACATATAAATATATTAGAACCTCAATCATTTCTCGGTTAGTTTTGTCTTATGAACCGAGATGCATACGCGTGTGACCTTGTCAACTTATGACTCATTGTCACGGGAAAAATTATGGTTAATTTCAAAATGACTTTAAAGATTATAAATAGTAAAATTGAGGCCTGCATGAAAGAAATATGCGACTGTTCAAAGGGCACTAAGTCTTTTGTAGGACTATTACTACGGAAAATACTAAGATTGTAACTGATCTAATTGAACTACATAAATAGACTATAGTCAGTGTCATCGATTTGTTATTAATACTTATCACTACTGCTTGTAAGAATTTAAGAATTTGAGATAGCTTGCCAGGCAAGATAATATACGCCCACTGGCAGCTTTGGTTTTAAATTAAAAATATTTGGCAGTACAGTAACAATTACCAGTATGATATATTCAACCTTCAGACATACACTTCTTTTGAACTTTTTGAGGCGATACTGAATAAAATTACTTAGTTTCATCAAAATCTGTCAAGAATTGGGCCTTCTAGAGTGTTTAAGGGCTAAAACTTGAACGCGTTTTTAAGAATAAGATTTTTCTGATTTTCGATAGGGTTCAATTTTGGTTTATTACATACACACACATCGGGTGTGTTTACGTGATAAAAATTGAACGCATTTTCAAGAAGAAGTGCAATAACTCATGCTAATTATTTTTCGATTTTCTGATTTTCAATAGGGTTCATCCTTGGGTGATAACAAACACTCACACCAAGTTTCGTCAAAATCTGTCAATAATTGAACCTTCTAGAGCGTTTACGAGCTAAAAATTGAACACATTTTCAAGAACAAGGGCAATAACTCATACTAATTTTTTTTTAATTGTTCAATAGGGATCATCCTTGGGTGATTATAAACACTCACACCAAGTTTCGTCAAAATCTGTCAAGAACTGTGCCTTCAAGAGTGTTTACGGGCTAAAAATTGAACGCGTTTTCAAGAACATGGGCAATAACTCATACTTAATATTTTTCGATTTTTTTTTAATTTTCGATAGGGATCATCCTTAAACACTCACACCCAGTTTCGTCAAAATCTGTCAAGAATTGTGCCTTCAAGAGTGTTTACGTGCTAAAAATTGGACGTGTTTTCAAAAACATGGGCAATAACTCATACTTAATATTTTTCGATTTTTTTTAATTTTCGAAAAGGTTCAACCTTGGGTGATAACAAACACTCATACCAGTTTCGTCAAAATCTGTCAATAATTGAACCTTCTAGAGCGTTTACAGGTAAAAAAAAAGGAACACATTTTCAAGAACAAGGGCAATAACTCATACTAAATATTTTTTAATTGTTCAATAGGGATCATCCTTGGGTGATTAAAAACACTCACACCAAGGTTCGTCAAAATCTGTCAAGAATTGTGCCTTCTAGAGTGATTTCGAGTGATTACGAGCGGTTCAAGAACAAGGGCAATAACTCATACACATTATTTTTGGATGTTTCTCATTTTCAACAGGGTTCATCCTTGTGTGATTACAAACAACCATACCAAGTTTCGTCGAAATCAGTCAAGAATTATAGAGTGTTTACGAGCAATTGTGAACGGACCGACGGACGGATACGGGTGACGGCAATATATAAAAATTTGTTTTAAGACCTACACAGAACAATATTCAGTCAAAATTTTTGACTTTTGGGGTTGAAATTTGTTTCTTTTCAATGTAACCTTACAAAAGATGATATTCCCCCAGAAAATATCGACAAAACTTTTAAGTTTGCTCAGACAATAATAATATATTTCAAATAACTTTATCAACAATACTGGTACGGTATATAATTATTGTATTATCACAGACCCTTGTATTATACAATAAACACTAAATTTTCAAATTCTAATCACTAAAAATGAAATGAATGAAAAATTTACCAGATGAATTTTCTGATAGAGAATCGACTCAAATTCTTCACTAAGGAAAAATATATTGTGATTCTTACGTCTTAAAATGGACATAAAATTTAAGTTCTCGAAATGGTCGATATGAGTATATATTCATCAGTGAACTTACTTGGTGTCATAAAGTCACAACAGAATCCCTGTAAAATCTGGAAAATTGGAAAATTCATAAAACTTAGTAATTATTGAAAAACGCTTATTCTTGATATTAAGCGTTTTTCAATAGTTAATTAGATATTTAGCTTTTTGGATTTATCTGATTATATAAGGATCCTGTTATACCCAATCAAGGAGATGTTCTGGTACAGTGTACGTTAAAAGTCTTTCTGTCGGAATGCAAGGAAAATTTCCCTATTGCATGTTGTAATTTTTCCGAACTTGGGAGCACAAATTTAAGACGTTATAAAACTCCATATCATTTCAGAAACAGAGAAAAAATACTTGCTCACATGGGCTTTCTTTAGTGTAGACAATATTATCCTTTGATTAATTTGTTACCTGATTTAAAATGAGTTTAATTGTAAAATTAAGGGTTTTTTTTTTCACTGTTACTAAATATTTTGGAGATGTGGTAAAATGGAGTTACTTCCCTTCGATCAAGCTCTAAGTAGAAAATTTTACAGGTCAAAATAAAAGCCAGAAAATAAACTTTAGTCATGACTCCATGCCCAAAAATATAATTTATGCAATCTTATATTAAAAATCGATAAAACTATGTGCATTTCATCTTGTAGAACTATCTCGATGTTAATTCGACCATTAACCATGTGACTAGCTTTGTTGTTATTTACAAGAGTTTGTGAATTCTAGTTGAGTGTTTGACTGGCTGGGGTTGAGAGTGGAAGCGAGAAAGTACTGCGTGTTTACATTAAGGTTAACGAACTGCTGGGCTAATTTCCTTGTCATCAAGTTTTAAATTGATATTATACTGTAACATTTGGAGATGTCAGCAAAGGAATCGGTGAGTTTGGGCAGAGAAATTCCTGCAACTAGACGAGTTATTCTGCACGATGCTGCCCACATGCCAAATGATTACAGTTCAACCCCAGGTGGAACCATTTTCTCCACCACTCCAGGAGGTTTGTTCTACTTTAATTTTTCTAATTTTCCTTATTTTGGCAGAGTTAAAATGTTCATTTTAAAGTTGATCATAATTTTGTGGCTTTTGCGCTCACAATGTAAGGTAAAAATATGAAAATACTCGAGGTAAAAGCCGGATTTTGTGAGAAATTTTCAACATGGCGACCCAACATGTGACTAATACCATTGAGTTTTAAAAAGGTACAATATTGTACAATATTGTACAATATTGTACATTGTTGCAATTTTGCTATGGAATATGACGGTATATTAGAATTATAACTGTGTATTATGGAATGTAGTGCACGGAAATCTGAGTAAATATAATTACATTACGGAATTAGATGACTGACCGACTTTCCGCACGAGTAAATTTCGGTGGGACTTCAATGTTATGTCAAGCAATCATTACATCTTAACCTGCCTTGGGCCAAGTTGGGAGTTTGATAAGCATGTACCGTTAGGGTTTTAGTGTGCCATTACCCCAGGAGTAAACCGTTATCTAAAATATTCAGGGGAGGAATGTGTATTACGTTTTATTATGAACTACCATCATGCTAACGACCTTGACTTTCATGTTTTGAGGTCGCGTGTGCCACTTTTTCAGCAGAAATTGATAAGAAATTCGGTGCAGATTTCAAGATATTGACCTTTTTCTAAAATTTGGCTGGCGCTCAGTGTAAAAAGTGGGTGACCGATTTAACGAAAAATTCAAGCTGATAAAAAGGACACTCGACCCTAATTGACAGCCTCCTCAACAAGTGTAAATATATATCCCAAATTAACATGACTTAATCACGTTCAACAGATATGAACACCAAACAATTACAAAACATTGAACTTAAAATTTATATTTAAATAGTTTGGGTTATTATTAAAGGGTTATTCTGCTTTTTTGTATAAAGTTTTCATTATCAAAAACGTCGTAAATTATTCCCTGAAATTATTTCTAAAGTATGTTATTTATATCTATGTATCTTCTGGATCAAACAGAATTTCTTTTGAAAGGGTTAATTAAAAACGGGGAGTACTACTTGTTAATTGAGCAGTTTGACCTAGTTATGGTCTTTGGCTTTATAATGGCTCGATATTATTAGTTGATACTTGTAGAAAACATATTTCTCTGCAATTAGAGGTTTATTTTACTAAAATCCATACAGTAGTTTTTCAACAGCTCCAAAAAAGCATAACGAACTTAATAACCTTATGTAATGTTTTTTTACTCTTACAACAATGTGGTCGTATATTGTAATCGGCCGTCATTCTGTTCGTTCACATGCCCACACGTAGTATGGAAGCATATTGTCCCCCGTTCACACTTAACATGTCCTGTAGAACTCATCTCAAATATCTTTAAGGTGTCAAACACTTTATCAAAACTTTCATCTTTTTGATATTGTAAAATTTACAGGAGAGAAGTGGTGTATATAGTCTTTGGTGTCATCTTCAAACTATTCATTGTTACTAAAGATTCATTACAACTTGTAGATAGGATATGCTGAGGTTTCTGTAGTTATGAAGATGAATAAGTAGGGTTGGATAAGTCTATTTAGTTAAAATTGTAACTAATCAACTTCATGAAGTTAACCAGCTGTTGACCTATCTTCCTTCAATATTTATATTATGACTCATATCTTCTATACAATAATATAAATCATTGTTTCATTTCATATCATTTATACCATCAAATTTCAATTATAAACTTGACAATTTATGAAAATCAGCAACAAGATTTTTTAAATTGAATTCTTTATATCATGAAATTCAAATTTCAATCATGAAATTGAATATTTAAATTTGTAAAAATCAACAAGATTTTCTATTTTGAATTCTATATTATTTTTCAGGGACTAGAATAGTATATGATAGAGCATTCCTATTGCAATGTCGAAACTCCCCACTAACTAAAAGTCCTCCACCAAACATGGCAAAAATTCCTGGAGTAACCACGCCAGCAGAAAAAGGATCGCCAAAAGTCAACGGAAATCCAGAATGCAAAACCGTTGCTGAAAAGCCAGGTAAGATTTGACTAGTTGATCTTTTCTATTTGACTTACAAGTTTCTACTAGTTCAGACATCTGCATTGGTTTTGTTGGTACTTGTACTAGAAAGGACTGGAATTGCAGGCCTTGAGATACCTAAACCATGTGACAATTTTCCAAATAACTGAAAGGATGGAAGCATTCAACATCAGAAGAACAGCACCCATTGCAAAAACACAGCTGCACTTTTGTGAGCAAGATATCTCACACACTGCATTCAAAGTTTAATGTTCGTTTCTGTATTTGTGTATTGATTTTGATCTGATGTATGTAAGTAATAAAAGATGTAAGTTTTATATATTATTTTAGTTTTTCAATATTTTTTTTTTGCAGAAAATCCAGGTGATGAGCCTCAGTTTGAAATGGACATATAAATCACTACCCAGAAAGTCTTTCATTTTCTGTAAAACCAATAAATAATAATAATGTGTAGTGATTTATATAAACTTTGCGAAGTACCATAATTATGGTAATGGAACCATTTCAACAAACTTCATTGGATATCTGGTGATGAGATGGCCAATCAAAAGGTTTCTATCAAGTCACAGTATTCTCAGGATTCAATTGGTCAGTTGCTTGGCAACCAAACTTTTATTAATATCTTTGTGATATATTTTGACAGAAAATTAGAAATTTCGAGAAATGTTTTATTTTGTTAATTTTCTGTCATGATTTGACTTCAATGACAATTTGTGAATGTTATGGATCATTCTTCCTATATATGACCGATGTTTAAAAATAATAGTGTGCCATTGAATGACAGTTTTAGCCTTGTTTTTAGCCCAATATTGTTATATTTTCTTATTCTGTTGAAATTTAAGATTTGACATCAATTAAAGCCACTTTTACCTATTTTATACAAGTGAATCAGTTAAAACTGAGATTAATTACATTTGTTTTTTAAAGAATAATTTTCAGTTTTGAAATTGTTAGTGAATGTCTAATTACAAAATAGGTTTAAAGGAATTGTGACATGTATTTCTATCTTTACAAGGACAATATTAATGGTATTGCCAAGCCTAATTCTGGTTTTCCTACTGCTAGACTGTGTTATTTGTTGAAAACAGAACAGTGAGGTCTCGAAATCTGATATTACTTACTTACTTACTTACTCAGGTGACACCATTCTCAGAATATTATTCTTTTGAAATAGGCTTGGTTTTCCCTTAATATATTTTATTTACATTGTGTTTAAATATACAGGGTGAGGGGTATCAAGAAATACTGGTATCAGGTGCTTCGGATGTGGAAATCATGCTAATTTCTTCCATTGGTAAAGATACTTATACAAGACACAATTCCTAACAATAGTGGTTTATAATTTTATACTTTTGTACAGAACACTGGTTATAGATTCAGTTTAATTTTGTGTCCAATCCTTGGGTTAGTTAACATGTCTCTCAAAACAATGAAAAATTACCACTCAAAAGTAGTCAATTATCAAATACTTCAAATACTTTTTAAGCTACCCTAAAAGAATCATCAAAGGTGAAGATGCACTAATATCTTTTGCACAATACAATAAGAGATGTTTTCCCACAAATCATTGTCCTTTGATAGCTTTTACCATGGCAGTTAAGGTGAAGAGTCATCCAACAATTTGGATACAGGCAAAAAATATTTTTAAAGTTTTGAATTGCATAATCTTTGTAGCTTTTTAGTGAATACCTCAAATTTCTCTATCATTCCTGTATAAAAGGATGCATTATTGTTTAAGTTAATTTAATACTTGTAGCATTTAATTCCTTCTTAGATGTAGATGTCTTCAAAATAGGTTGTAAGAACCACAGGGACCAGTTTTTTTTTCAATAATAAAAAAAAAATAATATTTTTTTTACTGATATCTAACATATCAGTAAAATATTTTTGTAAACAGACAATAAGATACTGGCCCCTGAGGTAGCAACTCCCATCATTAACTACATTTCAATTTTGTTTGATATGCATACATATGGATCCATAGTCAAGAATGACTTTTGTTTACCAATATTTTCTAGAACATAGACTTGTCTACTGGTATAAAGAAAAGAGATATTAGAAAATCTAATAGCAAATACCTAATATTTTCGGTACTTTTGTCCAGATTTATTTTGAATTGCATGTGCTTAAAGCATAAATAAAGCTTATGTGCAAAATATTTTGTGGCTATCACTATATTAGTATTTGGTCAAATCAGTAAATTTAAATTTGTCCTAAATTCTTTTAGCTGTTTTATATGTTCATTTTGAAGGTGATACGTTATTTTTCCAATTATATTATAAACTAAAATCATGTTTTGTTTTATCTAAAATTCAACATTGAAGTCAACATCTCAAAAGTGCTATTTTGTTGTTCTTTAAAGGAAATAAACATAATAAAATTCTGTGTTTCACTTCTTTTTTAGTGGCAGCGCCAGCCTCCCAAGATAGGGGGTACAAATAGGGGGCAGACTGACTTAATGGGGGGGGGACATCTGTCAATGTTGAAGTGCAAAGGCAGGAGATAGGGCTATTAGGTACTTCCAAGAAGTCTTGTTTCAATTAATTGATGTACGATGCAGTACACCCAGCCAGAAGTCTGTCTCGATTAACATATCTTGTAATACACCAAGGTTTTAGTATTGTAGAACATCCACTTGTCAGTCCCTTCAATGTTGTGTAGAACACCCAGTAGAAAATAGTAGTCCATCTCAATAAATGTCTTGTGGAACACCCAGTAGTCAATCTCAATATATGTCTTGTGGAAACCCAGAAGAAAATAGTAGTCCAGTAGTAGTCTTGTGGAACACCCAGTAGTCAGACTCAATATATGTCTTGTAGAACATCCAGTAGTCAATCTCAATATATGTCTTGTGGAACACCCCCCACATGGTGCAGAAAAGTAGGACGTAAAACTCCATTCATTTCATTTCATTTGTGGAACACCCATTAGAAAATAGTAGTGAATCTCAATATATGTCATGTGGAACACCCCGTAGAAAATTCTGATATATTTGTCTTGTGGAACACCCAGAAGAAAACAGTAGTCCATCTCAATATATGTCTTGTAGAACACCTAGTAGAAAATTCTAATAATGTCTTGTGGTACATCCAGTAGTCGGTCTCAATATATGTCTTGTAGAACACCTAGTAGAAATTCTAATAATGTCTTGTGGAACACACAGTAGTCAATCTCAGTATATGTCTTGTAGAACACCTAGTAGAAAATTCTAATGTCTTGTGGAACACCCAGTAGTCAATCTCAATATATGTCTTGTAGAACACCTAGTAGAAATTCTGATATATTTCTTGTGGAACACACAGTAGTCAATCTCAGTATATGTCTTGTAGAACACCTAGTAGAAAATTCTAATGTCTTGTGGAACACCCAGTAGTCGGTCTCAATATATGTCTTGTAGAACACCTAGTAGAAAATTCTAATGTCTTGTGGAACACACAGTATTCAATTTCAATATATATCTTGTAGGTAGAAAATTCTGATATATTTCTTGTGGAACACCCAGTAGTCAATCTCAATATATGTCTTGTAGAACACCTAGTAGAAAATTCTAATAATGTCTTGTGGAACACACAGTATTCAATCTCAATATATGTCTTGTAGAACACACAGTAGTCAATCTCAATATATATCTTGTGGAACACTCAATATTCAATCTCAATATATGTCTTGTGGAACACACAGTATTCAATCTCAATATATGTCTTGTGGAACACACAGTATTCAATCTCAATATATATCTTGTAGAACACCTAATAGAAAATTCCAATATATATCTTGTGGAACACACAGTAGTCAATCCTAATGTAGAAACATTGAGTAGTTAATCCCAATATATGTTTTGTAGAATACCGATTGGTTTGATTATGTATATCAATGAGTTACAATGCTGTGTGGATGAAAATCATTTGGGATGACTGCTAGTTTTTATAAAAGAGTGACAGATTCCAAGACTTTTCAAATATATACTATTTATGCAACAGCCTTGAATCAATGTGCTTGACTCATAGTATAAAAACATAATATACAAATTACACATTGGTCAACTTGAATTGCATTAAACCAAGGTTTGTTTTGGGAAATAAACAATATTTATAGCCTTCAATCTGAAGTTATTTTTATTCATACATTTTTTTACATTCTTTCTATTTATCAAAGAAAAAGCTATTTTAGAGAAAAGAATGCAGGGAAAAAAATTCACGAGCACATTCAGCCGATTTCATTCTTTGTGATAACCATATAATAATATAATAATAATAGCACATACAAGGGGACATAACTAAATAACATGTGAACCCTTTTAAATATTTCCCCTCTTCCAATATCACCGTTTATCATGTATAACCTAGACTCCACCATCCAGACATCTTTATATAACATATATAGCACAAATAACCTGGATAATCGAGGCTAGTATTTTACTACATTTAGTTAAATATGGTAAGAGGAAAAAAAATGAAAAAAAAAAAATGCTTCATTCAATAATCAAAGTAATTATTCCAAAAATCATGGTCGCCTCACCAAATTGTTGGCATATGAACGTCATCAGTCAAAATATATATAGAGAGCAAGTCAATATCTGGATTATATGTTGCCTTGTTGTTGCTGACTCCAGGCCCATGTCTGTAAAAAAAAGGGAAAATATAAGTACAATTTTTAATAAAAATTTCCGCAAGCTATAAGAATTTTGGAATAAAATTTTAACTTTTGATGTGTCTGCCTAGAAGAATAGAATGAAACCCTATTTGGCTTTAAAAAAAAAAACAACCACATAAACTGCAAAGATTGACAATTTAAATTGGTTGTCTTGCATTTAATATTACGTTTGCATTACTCTACTTACCCCATTATCTATAGTGTCAGGAGGAGGTTGTTTCATTCCCGTATTCCATAAATTAGGTAGGTTATCTCCCCCTGACAGACCTCGAGGTGCCATCATATGTTGATTACTCTGTGGATAGTGTCCATTGGTAAACATTGCAACTTGCTGTAATAAACAAACTATCATAACAACTGGGAAGATGGCTTGCCAGGCAAGGTAATATATGCCCACTGACAGCTATGATTTTGAATGAAAATATTAAGCAGTACAGTAACACCAGTATGAAATATTCAATCTTCAGTCATACACTTCTTTTGAACTCTTTAGGACGATAACATTGATCAATTTTTAGCTCGTGAAAACTCTACAAGGCAAAAATCCAGTAAGAATTATGCCTTTTAGTGTTTAAGAGCTAAATTTGAAAGCGTTTTCCAGAATAAGGGCAATAACTCATACTAAATATTTTTAAATTCTTCTGATTTTCAATAGGGTTTATCCTTGGGTGATAACGAACACTCGCATCAAGTTTCATTAAAATCCGTCAAGAATTGTCCTTTCTAGAATGTTTACAAGCTAAAAATTGAACGCGTTTTCAAGAACAAGGGCAATAGCTCATACTAATCATTTTTTCGATTCTTCTGATGTTAAATAGGGTTCATCCTTGGGTGATTATGAACACTCACACCAAGTTTCGTCAAGAATTGTGCCTTCTAGAGTGTTTACGAGCTAAAAATTGAACGCGTTTTCAAGTGCAAGGGCAATAACTCATACTAAATATTTTTCGATTTTTCTGATTTTCAATAGGGTTCATCCTTGGGTGATTACGAACACTCATACCAAGTTTTGTCAAAATCCGTCAAGAATTGTGTCTTGTAGAGTGTTTACGAGCAATTGTGGACGGACGGATCGACGGACGGACATGTGTGATGGCAATATACGCCCCCCCATTTCATGTGGGCGTATAAAAATCAAAAGAATCTGTAAAAAATTGTAGCCTGTAGAGTGAGCACAAGTTGCACAATATAGCTAATAGAGAAAAACGTCAAGTCAGACACGATATTTCGGTGAAAAATTATCCGATCATCACGAAAATCAATAGGGATCATCTTCATAATGACATTGACACACAAAATAAAAATCAAAAGAATCTGTAAAAAATTGTAGCCTGTAGAGTGAGCACGAGTTGCACAATATAGCTAATAGAGAAAAACGTCAAGTCAGACACGATATTTCGGTGAAAAATTATCCGATCATCACGAAAATCAATAGGGATCATCTTCATAACAACATTGACATACAAAATAAAAATCAAAAGAATCTGTAAAAAATTGTAGCCTGTAGAGTGAGTACGAGCCAAATGTGAACGGATGGACGGGCGGACCGACTGACGGGGTGATTACAATATACGCCCATCTTACGTGTGGGCGTATAAAAATGATCACACCAAATTTCATCATAATCCGATGAAGAGGGTAGTCTGTATTGTGCATAAAAAAAAATTTTGAAGCTTTTTTCAAGGTCAATAACTCAAAAACTGTTCATTGAATAGTTAAATTTGAATCAGTCCCATGATCTCATAAATACAAATGATAACAGCAAATTTCATTTAATTCAGATGAAAACTGTAGTTTCTATTTTATTTTCAAACAAATTTTGACGTGTTTTGAAGTCAAAGACAATAATAGAAAACTGTTCATTGAATAATAGTAAAATTTGAATCATTAAAGATTTCATCAATTTAAATGACCACACCAAATTTTATTTAAATAAGATGATAACTGTTGACAAAAAGTTTTGACATGTCTTTTCTAAGTCGAGGGCAATAACTCAAAAACCATTCATCGAAAAATCATAAAATTCGAATCGCTCTAAAATATCAATGATCACACCAAATTTCATTTCAATCCGATGAAAACTATAGTCTCTATTATATTCACGAACCGATGGACAAGAGGCAATGGAAATCTGGACGTATTAAAAATAAGGGTTTTTATTCAAGATCAGTTTAATCAGTTATTGCTTTAGCACCGATTTGAACTATCATTTCTATCAGACTGTCATTCATACAAAACGTGTGAAAGCATTCAGTTCCACAAAAAACGTGAAGTAGATACAGTCTGGAGAAATCACTGATACTTACTGGTATATTTGAGTCCATATTCTGTGGTAAACCATCATGAAATGATGTTCTCTCATGTGGTGGTTCGTTAGTTGGGGGTCCACCACCTGGTAAAGAATTTAAATTATAAACCATATTGCCACCAGTAATAACAGATGATGTCATGACAGAGGAGGTCATTGATGCAGCTGTCATGAGGTTGGTTGTGGAAGGAACCCATTCTGGATTTATTTCTTAAAAAAAATGGATGTCACTGCTATTACTTATATTTCTTTCAGACTTTAAGTAGAACTGTGTGTAATCATATGACCCAAATAGGTGCTGATCAAAACTTTATTAAAGGTTACAGCATAAAAAACCTTGCCTAGAACTAGTTTGATGTCATCATATTATTTCTTAGTAAAAATTGGAAATATACATCCGTTTTAAGTTTAAAAGCTATCTTTTCAGTCTTACGATCAAGCTTAATTCAGAAATTAATTTAGTCTGATCCGGTTTGAAACATATTGGTTGAAACAATGTCCCTGAATCAGAAGAAAAAAGAAATGAGAATCTTCAATACTTTTGTTCAGGGCTGAAAATGTGTCATATCATAACACACCCTGGAAGTATACATATGAAATATTTAGTATATCTACAATTCAAACCTGTCCAAGATCTCATTTATATACAGTAACATAGCGATGTTTATTCATAATTTACCATTATGTCAAAAATATACAGTAGTTTTGAAAGAAAAATCTCCATAAATTTTAACTTGACCTTGCTCTAATATATTGATAAATGTGATAAGTACAATTTTACTTAATACATTCAAAAAGTTTAATATGCCAGCAAGGTAATATATGCCCACGGGCAGCTTTATTTTGAATTAAAATATTTGGCAGTACAATAACAATCACCAGTATGAAATATCAACTTTCAGTCATACACTTCTTTTGAACTCTTTAGGGCCCTGGCAATACTGCATAATATTGAGTATGAGTTATTGCCCTTGTTCTTGAAAACTTGTTCAATTTTTAGCTTGTGAAAACTCTAGAAGGCAAATATTCAACCTTCATGGCGTTACTGAACAATAAAAATCCAGCAAGAATCACGCCTTTTAGTTTCTGAGAGCTAAAATTTGAGAATGAGAACAATTACTTGTAATAAAATTTTTTTGATTTTCGATAGGGTTAATAATGATTGATAATAAACAATTTCAACAAGTTTCGTCAAAATCTGCCAAGAATTGAGCCTTCTAGAATGTTAAAAAGCTAAAAAAAATTTCAAGTTTTCCACTAGCAATTGTGGACGGACCGACGGACTCATACAATTTTTTTTCTGATTTTCAAATGGGTTTATCCTGGGTTTCTTCAAAAACCGTCAAGAACTGCCTTGTAGAGTGTTTCAGGCAATTGTAGACTGACAAACCGACGGACATGGGTGACGGCTATATACGCCCCCCCATTTTATGTGGCGTATAAAAAAATTAAATAACAATACCTGAATTCATGTCCCAAAATTTTGAAAAATCTCTACCAGGAGGGAATTCAATAGATGATCTGGCAGGTGTTTTACGATGAGCCCTTTCTACACCAATGGGACGAGGTACACGTCTATCCTCTACACTCTGTTTAACTTCATTACCTGGTGGGGCTCTCTCTGAAATTACCAAGACATATCAACAGCACGGTAGAATTTGATGGTAGGGAGAAGGTTGAAACTTGAAGCTGCATGCTGTAAATTCTTTTGAATCTTTGAAAATATAGATGTAAAAATTTAGGCTTCAATATTTAGACCTAACTTTTTTCCTAGAAGGTGCAAAACTGGAGTAGTAAGGCTTTAAAAAGTACATGACTTTGGAGAAGTAGAATAAAATCTCACCTTGCATACCACCAATTGAAGGAGCACTATTAGGTCTACCAATTGTTTGCATCATGGGCGACAAAGCTCTCTGTAGTTGAGGAACAGGAGGATTGAAACCACTGGGAGCTTGGTTGATTGACTGTGATGCTGCTAACTGCTGGATCAATGTATTTATAGCATTGATATCTGTAGGATTCTTTTGGTTTAAAAGGTTGATGTTGTTTGCAGCATTGATCAACAGAAGTTGTTGCTGAAAAGCAGCAGAGTTTGCATGAAGAGATGACACTCTAGGTGATCTCTGCATATTTTGTTGCATCCCCATGCCCATATTTTCCATCCCAGACATATTCTGATTTGCTGTAATATGAAAATCAGGAGCGTTTGGATTCAGTGTACTTTTGATTTCTGGTAAAGTCATTGGTTGGTTTGGTGTACTGTACTCATCTTTTTGACTAGTGATGGAGGTCAAGGATTGTTGACTCATGTCCAGAGAAGACTGGCTTCGTGGAGAAAGACCACTAGGTGTTGACATGTTAGACCTTGGGGAAATCACTGACTGCATACTACCAGACTGCATGTTGGGTTGCATCCCAGCCTGTAGACCAGTTGGTAAACCAGATGTCATGCCTCCTGTAAGTCCAGGGTGCATTCCAGACTGCATTGGTGGTTGTAAACGGGGATCTGGAAAAGCTGGAGTTCTTCCAAAATCAGGTTCATTCATAGGATTGAGAGCAATATGGAAATTTCTAATATTAGCTGGGACTTGAATTTCATGTTCTTGTCGGAATTGAGGAGAGGCTGTTCGTCCAATTTTAAATCCTGGAGCCTTGGCTTGGAGTGCTGGATCTAACATTTGATCTTCAGGTTGTGGCATACTGCTATGGTTATTATTCACAACATTAGATGTGGAGGATGCCACAACGCCTGCCTTGGCAACACTCGCAAAATTCATCATCTTGTCATCGTCTTTCTTGAGAAACATGTCCGAGTTGAATAAGTTGTTAAATGGATTATATTCTCCAGGAGTTGTTGCTGGAGACACAGGTTGCTGATGACCATGTTGATTACCAGGTGTAACATTATGACTAGCATGTGATGTTACTATAGGTAATGGTTGATGTTCTGGCTTGTTCGTTCCAGGACGTTGTAAAAGACGAATTGTATTCATTTGCTTACTAGGTGTTTTATTAGACATCTGATTGCGACTGTCAGGTCGTGGTCCAGTCACAGTTGACGTGGTCACAACAACTTTCATCTGATTACCAGAATGAGTTATAGTTGTGGAGGAAACAGTAACTGATGGTGCATGATGGCGGTCACCATGTGTGTGCATACCATTTCTGTCACCATTATTGAAAGAGTTGGTAGCAGAATGTGGAATAAAATTCTTCAATGGACTCTTTCTAGGTGAAGGTTGAGGAGCTGGATTGGGGTCTTGCCAAACAGAAACTGACATTGGAGGCTGACTGTTCATTTTGTTTGAGTGTGTTGGCGTTCCCATTCCTTGTCTTCCCTCTGAACTACGAGAAGATTTTGATGGTGTGTTGTTGTTGTTAGTATGACTGACTGAAGCAGCATTAAAAGTTCCAATTGGCATATCAGGGGAAAAGGTATCAATAACTGGTGGTTTGTCAATCTTCATCTCAGCCTTTGATTCATTGATTATTTCAGCCAAATCTTTCTCTGGATCTTGAACCAATGATGTTATCAAAAAACAGGCTAGTCTTGTTGCCTCAGCACTTCCCCTAAAAATAAGATTCAAAAATCATTTCATAACAGATATGAATATTCCATCTATCTAAATCTGGGTCATCATCATAATTTTCTTTCCAGAAAAAAGCTGCACATTCTCCATGTTACTTAACTTGTCATAAATATTCTATCTTACTGGGGAGCAATGCATCAAGTGTCAAACAAGATATACAAATTGTGAACGGAATATTTAAGGTCAATAATCGATAAAAACTCACTTGATTGTAATAGCTCTCTCTGATAAACCTTTCTGTTTTTCCACTTCTACATGAGCACCTGATACATCTCTTATAGCATTGATATTACAACCACCACGTCCAATAACTCTACTAATAGCATTACTTGGTACCAACACTTTCTTAGTCTTAGATATTGGTGGAACCCTGTAACCAGATATACAGTACATTACTGCTTTTTTGTTTTATACAAATTTACAACTTCAACATTTGGATTTTATTGAATTTGCTCTTGACATTTCAAGATAAGATGTCATGTTTAAAAGAGTGCCAATGTATTATCAAGTAAAATTAAACAATAAACCATTTTATTGAATATTTCTTTATTTTTTTGACTCACTGGATCTTCATTCATCAACATCAGAACTGATTCTGACCATGACAAGAATGTCGAATCTTACTTAACAACTACCAAGGAAAGAGATGTCATTGAATTCTAACTGAAACTTCAACTGAAAATTAGCCGTTGTGCCCTTGAAACATATTAAAATTAAGAAATACTTTAGTTTTTCTATAGCAAATTCTATTCACACATTATAATATGGGCGTATATAAAAACATACTTTCTCACAACTTCTTTCCAGCCATCTTCTTTCTTTTGACCTTTCTTTGGACTGGTAGATTGATTGTTCACCTTTGAACTTGGGTTACTATGGGAACTTACAGTATTTGACTTCTCAACACTAAAATAAGAAATGAAACTAAAGTTAAGATCAGATCAAGTAGTATTAACTGCAAATAATCATACATCATTTATTTCATTAACCATGCAAGAAAAGGTTTTCTTAGGCTGACTGGTGATTCATTAGATGTTGTAAGATCCATATTGAACAAATTCACTGACAAATAGCATATGTTATCAACTTCATAATGAAAGATAGCTTGCGTTGCAAAGTAAGATACGCCCACTGGCAGCTGTCAGAAATGATAAAACAGTCTTTAGTGACTAAAGTATGAATTTTCTCATATTGAAGAAATTTTATTAGTTTGAATTCAATTACATATATATATGCCAGTTATTTATGCTGAGTAATTCCACAAAATTTTTTAAAATCAATATCAATAACCCAAATACAACAAACAATTAAATCACACAGCTCTAATCAAGGGCAAAAAACAACTTTTGACGCGTGTTTACAAAGTCAAAGGCAATAACGCAAAAAATGTTCATCAAAAATATCTCTTGTTAGAACTTGTCTGAGATCTTATCAATTCCAATGATCACACCAAGTTTCATCAGAATCGGATGAAAACTGTAGCTTCAATCCTGCTCACGAACAATTTTCAACAAATTTCAAGGCGTTCTAAGTCAAGGGCAATATCTCAAAAACCGTTCATCGAAAACATGTCAAATTCGAACTTGACCGAGATCTTATCAATCTAAAGCATCACACCAAGTTTTATCAAAATCAGATAAAAACTGTAGTCTCTATAGTGCTCACAAGAAATGTTGACGGACGGACCGACAGACAGGGGCAACGACAATATACAACCAGATATTCATGTGAAATAAATAATAAAACTTGACATCAAATACCATCCTTTAATACCCAACGTTTCGTCAAAAAAGTTGACTTCATCTGGGGAAGAATCAAACTACAAATGGTGGAAGGCAGTTGTGAGCGTATAAAAAGCTACTTCGAAGCCAGTCTATTATATACTTACACATTATTGATTTTGATCTTGTCAAGCTTTTTGGTGAGTTTTTGTATTTCTTTATCAGGCAGTTTCAAATTAGAAGGTATGGTACCAAAATCATCTAAATCATCAATACCTATAATAAGAATCATTTATGAGAGCATTATCATGCTTGTAAGTTGTCAAGTAATGATATGATTGAACTGTTTCATCCAATTCATGTCTATAAGTATTTCAAGATATATAACAGAAGACGACAAAAAGATGTAGATTGTAATTGTGTACCTATCAATACCCATTTATAAATCTTTTAACCTCCTTCAATCCAATAAAAATTTTATATGTGAACATACCAGTATTATGATTTGATTTGTAAACAATGTCATTCTTATGTTTACTGCGTTCTTTATTATTATTATAACTAGATGACGATGTTGTTGATACAGTACTAGTACAGATTGTAGTTACAACATTAGAAGTAGTAGTAATAGTTAAACCAGTAGTAGCTACTGATGACTTCCAATTACATGATGTCTTCGGTACTGCATTTCTCTTTTCTAATTGTCGCTCTCGTTCTTCACGTCTATTCTTACGATTTTTACGTGCCTCAAGACTAGAAGTTGGTGGTAAACGAGATTTACGAGGTCGTGCTACTGTTGGCTCAGTTGTAGTTGGTAAAGTAGTACCTGTAAAAAGTCAGAAAAATTAACTATGGCTTTAATAGTTCTCAATGTTACCTAATCTTTTGAATGTTTTGAATCTCATCCATAAAAATATGGAAATGGAGTTATGTGGGAATTAACATAATTATTTCTTTAACATTTCTGATGGAATATAAACAATACCAACCAATAGTGGAAGTAATAGTAGCTACTGGTGTCACTAATTTCACTATTTCTTGTTCAATTTTCTCTACTACAGATTCACAACTATCAGGTTCTGGTGATGAATATTTAATCCTACAAAAAAACAGACATACTTTCATTACAAATTACAAATTTTAAATACAGATGGTTATTTTGAATACTAGTCAAACAAATCAATGATTTTTCACACTATTTAAAATGAAAAAGATATTTCAATAACTCACTCGTCATCTTTCTTGCTGGTTTCTTTATTCTTTTTCTTATTTTTCATTCTCTTTCTCTCTCGTTTCTTAGCTTGAACTGCCTTCTTATTCTCCATTTCTTGTCGTTCTTTATCCAGTTCCTCCAGTAATATGGTGGCATTTTTATTAGCTTCCTCTGCCTGCCAGTTCTTGGCACTTATTATAGCTTCCATACACTGTTCACATCTTTGTTGGAGTTCCTGCATCAAAAAAATGTCTTTATTACATATACTATACCCTAAAGTGTTTTGCACAAATTACATATGTCCGGCAACCTTCATGTGTGATTTTCTTAAGATATCCAAACAAAAAAGTCATGAAAAAGTCACAGTCTTGTAGAGTATATAAAGACAATTGAGATATTTATTAGAAATTGAAACTGCCGAGTGAAACACGAAAACCGAAACAACATTTTGGCAATACCTTCATTTTTAAAACATATTTGCTATCAAATTTACAATTGCTGACAGCCGTATCATAATAATAAAACGAAATTAACCAACCTTATCAGTGACAGTAGCTATATATTTCTGCAGTTCTGTATCAGAGGGGAACTGAGACACTAGCTTCACCAACCATTTAACAATTTTAGTATGACCTTTACGGAAACTAGCCATTAAACAGGAGACTTTACGATTATCCATACTGTCAATACTAGCATCATGTTGAACCAATAACTGAGCTACATCAAGGTGACCACCAGCACACGCCAACCATAATGGGGAATTCCCTTTCTTATTTTTCACTTCAATTTGACAGTTTCTAAAAACAGAGAACATTTTAATATTCAATAGGTCATTCAAAGGTACCTTAACATACAATTGTATATATGTACCGTATCCATTGTATCCATGGGGTGCTGTTGAGCTCACATAAGCTTTAAGGTAAATTATAAAGGGTAAATAGTTTGTATTTAGGCACCAGATGTAGGGTCACTAATGCAATGCACTTTTGAGTGAGCTGCATATCTACTGCTTTTGTGTTGGTAGATCACCAAAACTATATACTAGTGACCTAACAGAAGGGAATCATTATATTTTAATCTTTTGGTCTATAAAAAAAATATTTCTTAATGTTGTGATATCTAAACAAAATTTGTACATTCGAGGCAGGAAAGCATCGGTCAAATCTAGAAATGATACAATTATACAGTTTGGCTTACTTTAGTATCAATAATTCAACAAATTTATAGTGTCCTTTATCAGCAGCAATAGTTAGAGCTGTATCACGAGATGATGGCACTGGTGGAGCATTTACATCAGCATTTTTATCAATTAGAACTTGTCCTACTTCAACATAACCTCCTGATGCTGCTTCCATTAATGGTGTTAAACCAGTCTGTAGAGAGAAACATATTTATTTAAATAATAAACACAAGCTAAGTACTATAGAGTAAAAGTGACAGAAAAAGGTATTAAGGAAGATCTGTGTATAGTATAGGACATCATATTTACCTTGGCTCTATGCTCAATATTTGCTTTTCTATCCACTAACAAACTAACAACTTCATGACGACCTTGAAAACAGGCTAAGGTCAATGCTGTATTACGATTTGTTTCAATCTGAAAATAAAACATGATTTAAAATCAAGAATTCAAGTTATATTGTCATTTATCTAGGTATATGTAAACGAGGAACTTTACAAAAACTACTTAGTACCCAGTTCTCTAATTTGACACTTACCTGTGCATTGATATCACTTCCCATATCCAATAACAATTTAACAGCTGCTAAATGTCCATTCATAGCAGCTAGCATTAACGGTGATATACCTAACTTAGAACCAGTTCTACAAAATAATATCAAATATTCCATTTAGATCCTTAGTATATATTACTAGTTCCTAATAAATGTAAGAAATTGTTCCTTTATATTTGTTCTCCTAGAATTAACATACAACTGTATGACAACCATGTCCATAATATACTTAGTTCACTGATCAAATTTAAATAACAAGGATATAATGTTTACTGCAATGAAACATAGGCAGAAATCATACCTTGAATTAATTTCGGCACCATGATTCAGAAGAAGTTTAATTATATTAACATAACCACCAGAAGCAGCAAGACTTAATGGAGTATAGTCAGATACATTGCGATGTTCTTTATTCGCACCCTTTGCTAACAACAATTCTACAACCTAAATAAATAATATCAATTTCATAAAAATAATGGAGTAAACTAATATATAACAATTAAAACTCAATGAGCAAATATCTTTTAATACAATGAAGTATAATATTTGAAAAAAATAATCTGGATATGCATAGGATCAGGACAGGAACTCAATCTTTATCTTAACTTCTGAGATAGTATCTTCCTATAATGAAAACAAATTTTACCTCAAATCGACCACCTGAACATGCTAATGATAATGGGGTATCCTTGGTTCTCTCAGACTGAGCTTCTATCTCTGATCTAT